AAGGATTTGTACACAGAAACAACAGTCACATGGATGTGGAGCTGACTGCATTCAGACATCGGTTCAGTATCACACAGCAAACCTCCTTAGCAAAAACCATCTAGGTTACTTACTGTATATATATAGGAATATTCCTCTGCTAAAAGTTATACATACACAGTTTGTAGAAGTCTGTTCTGAGATCCTTCAGAGTGAAAAAAAAGGCACTATAGGAAGTTGCACTTTTTCTTCTGGAAAAATACCCCAGTCTCCACAGACATTTAAATACGTAAAGAATGTTCCTGGTTTCTAAGTGATTTTGAATTATTAAAACAAAGAAGAAAAAGACACAATGGTTTGTTTTCTGTCTTCTAAGCATTAGATGCTCGGTAGCCTTTCTAGTCGTCAGCTGAACCCCGATTTAGAGCATCTGTATCAAGGCAGATTGACATAGCATTCTGTACCAAGACAGATGATGCCCTCCCCATTACCTGGTAGCACCTATGTAACCAATAAGACAGCTCAAATGAGGGTGGTCTAGGTCTTCATTAAACACATCTGTCACATAAAAAGTGTCTCTAAGCCCACTCCCCCACCTACTCTGTCTGCACAGACACAATGTGTGTATGTGCCTCCGCTGCTGATGTACTAATCTACTCCCTTTCAACCCAAGTGACCTACATTCAGCCTTTTCCTCCCAGTGAATCACAACTGTCTGGAGTGACAGATGCCGCCACAGATATTTTCGCAGAAGAGAAAGCAACTTTAGACCTCATAAGCTGCTAACGTAGTCAGCAGTGAACTAGTTACCTAAGAGATGAGCAGGGGTCAGCTAGCACTGGGGAGCAGGCACTGCTCACCCAAAGCATTAAAATACCTGATTATATTAAGCTTGAGGCTCATTTTGTTTGCTTTCAGGATCACGCAGTAAGGGCTTTTTGCTAAGGCTACAGAAAGGAAGTTAAAGTACCTTTTTAATCATTCATCCTCGAGAGTAAGAGCTTTAAACACAGATTAGAAGATTAAGAGTAAAATAGTGTGGTTTTGCAATTAGCCAGCATTCACACTCCGCAGACATACTATGCACAGGCGCAGCTGAGCCAGGAAGACAAGGGGACATTTCACACCCCCACCGGGGACAAACCCAGCCCCACAGCAGGAGGTGGGAATTTCTCCCCATCGTCCAGCAAGGAAAGATTTTTCCCCTAACATATTTCTGTTAGCAAGTCTTGCTCAAACAGTCATGATTTTGGAGCCACGCTCCTGCCTTTGTGCTGGGTGGGATACCATCAGGCTGCTGCTGGAGGCTGGCCCTCAGCCCCAGAGCCTGCACGGAGCTTGTCTTCCCAGGAGATCACACCTGGGTAAGGCACTGCCTTGACGAGTCGGGTAACTTACCGTGATGCTTCACACAGCTCTTCCTCTCATTAGCTGGTGAACTTCACACAGAAGGGCTCTTGGCAGGACCCGCTGGTTGGGAGTCAGCCAGGCCCAATATGAAAATGCAACTTGAGCATAAACCAACAACCAAAGTGGCGTTTAAGAAAGTGACTTAATATAACTCCTCATGCTGCTGCTGCACCATGACCTCGTTTCTTAGAGAAGTTTGAGAATGACCTTCAGCTCACAATGCAGACTTGTATTTCAGAGGTTCGAAGCCAGGAGATCTATCCCCAGGGACGGTACTGGTGCTCTTTCTGTAGTGACAGTCCACATGCATCCATGATTTATTACAAAAATGAGTCCTCCTGCACAAGACCTTGTTCACTCAGATACTTTCTCTGCCGTGCATTCAGCCCTGCGGCATGCAACATTGTCTTCTAATAGTGGAAAAACTCATTGTCTATTTGTCAGTGAAGATTTGAGAATATCAGGCTGTTGGCATTTTGTTTAGGAGCCAAATGATATTCCATTTTAATTGATTAATTTTTCAGTTACTGCATTGCTGCAATTCCAGGACTCAGCAATCAATTCGAACTGCCAAGACCCTCAGAGCCACTCTCCGCTTCTGCTCGGGCCTCCATTTGCAAAGACATTAAATTCACCTCCCCAATAGCAAATTTAATCAAGGATGGTGCATACCAATGAAGAATCATGAAATGGGCTCATATATGCCTGTCAAATATGAAAAACCCCTGTGTTACGCTATGCAGGCCTCTGTCATTCTGGACTTCAATCACATTATTAATAGAGGCCTCCTCAACAGCCTGCCGTTTAATCACTGTCAGCCAAGAAAGAGCTGGGCATATAAAGAAGAGCAGAGCCACTGAAGCGGGCATCACAAAAATACGTGCATCTGACAGTCTTGAAATACACTCGGGACAGGGATGGCCAGAACCACGGCTCACAGAAATACAGCTCTCCCCGTGCACAGAGCCCCACGGTCCCTCACACGGGCACTCGTCTCATTCTGCAGGTGAAAACTGCAGCAAAAAGAAAGTCAACGATTGCAATGACCAGCAGGGATCTTTAAAATCCATTCTTCTGCCAATCCCCACCCAATACAAGGGGCAGCCGTCATCTGCCTTCACACATACAGTGCTCACAGCTCCATGGCGAGTCTCGTAAGATTATCTCATAAAGATGCAGCTCCTGGGCTATGAGAACTCACAGCTTTTCTTTTGAAAGGATAATGCTTTGCCTCCATAGTAGCAGAAGAGAAAAAGGTGGATACCTACAAATTCAAAACCCAGAAGGTGAAGATGAAGGATTTTCAAACCAAGTAATGTTTGAATCCTTGTGGTCAGCAACAACAGCACCAGAGAAACCTTGGGATAGCTGGGTTTTGGCCTGGCTAAACCATAAATCTGAGCAGGCAGATTTGGGGATGTTATGGTTCGAAGAACCCACAACAATTTATTGTTGGTTAGACAATTATTCTATTCCCCACCCAGGAAGGGGAAATCAGGGAAAACAAGGCAACCCAAGGGTTTAAATATAAACAAATTAAATAGAATAAGACTAAATAATTAATAATACTAAAGAACCAATATTGATTTGGATATCAACATAAAAGGGTTATACTCAGCCCATTCTATCAATAGGAAGCTGTGCACTCCCAGCAGGGGACTGCAAATGTCAGACACTGTGAGCTGCAGCTTCAGCAGGAAGGGAAGGGTTCAGGGGTCCAGTGTAGGGGCAAAAAGTTCTCTGAACCACCGCCATCAAGGGAGAGAGAGAACTTCTCAACAAACTTTCTAATTTATATTGAATGTGACATTCATGGTATGAAATAACCCTGGCCAGCCCGGATCAAGTGCCCGGGTCTCGCTCTTCCTCATCCCTGCACCTGGCAAGGCTTGAAAACACTGAGACCTTGAAACCTACATACCATAGCTGGCTATAAAGTAAATATTTTCACAAATTCATACACTAATGGCTTCTAAAAGCACAGTTTTCCCAAGCATTAGAAGAGACCTTACTGAAAAGTAAGGTTACTGAAAAGAGAAATTAATCTTGTGTCGCTTGAACCAGGACAGAGGAACCACTGGTTTTGAGTTCATTTATTAAAATATATGTCTGACCTTTTTCTCCGCACATTGAACTAGTGAGTTCTTGCCCAAATCCCATCTCCAGAACGCTCCCAGAGCCCTGCAGTTCGGCCCCGCTTTCCTCACACCACACAAAGCCTGCACTCCTGACAGCCCCCCCGGCTGCCTGGCTCACAACCCAGCCACCAGCTCAGCAGTTTCCACTCTGTGAGCAAGTTTTTAAACTAAAAGTTCATGCATGTGTCGCAAGAAAAACGTGGGTGTCTGTTTCTGATAGCCGGGGCTGTGCTGCTGGCTTTGGCTTCCCAGAGCAGCCTTGTGTGAGTATAACTGATGCTGTCAAGGAAGGCAGTTTTCCCTTCTCAACATCTATTGGATGCACTTTTTAAAATTCTCTTCTTCCAAAGTACGACAGCGGAGTATAACCAGTGGGACTGAGTGAACTCCATTCATCTCTTTGGGCAGCAGAACAGCCCAGCTGCCTCCCATTGCCTGGAGCACAGAGGAGGGGCATTTTTCACCACGCAGATTTATTTCACCGAGGTGAGAGCACAGCTCCAGAAAGCCACCGGTGCTGTGATGGTCAAAGAATCTTGCCTGGCCCTTCAGCAGCCTTCCTAAGTATGAATGAAAAATAAAACCTAGATACATTCAGTCCTTTCGTAGCTCCATGAAAGCCACAGGGTAGCTCACGAGGATGAGCTCTGCTTGTAACTCTCTGCAGCGAGCAACGTGAAGCACAGAGGCGTTGTTTGTCTTCAGAAGAACACAGTGTAAAAATCTAAGTGTGCTGTGAATTACTAGTGAAATCCAGTGGCAAAATTCCCAGTGACATCAGCAGGACAGGATTTCAGCCACAACAAAAACATAAACAGAGAGAAACACACACACACACAGAGCACTTATCGAGGCCCCAGTTTTCCACTGCCTTTCAGTCATTCACGCTCATTATTTTATTTTCACCTATTGGAAAAATTAAACTGTTTAACACACTGACCTTTCCCTTTGTCCGTACTTTGATCTGCCCTGGAAAATGGCAATATGTTGTTAAATAGCCTGCATTACCCAGAAGACAAATAAATGTATAAATTTCTAGCTGGAAGTTGTGGTGGCAAGGTAAAGGTTAAATGCAATACAGCTTGTTAGAGACATGAAGTCTACAACACAATTCATTTTCTCCCAAATAGAAAAAGATGTTGAGACATTCTTCACATTTACTGGCTTGCTCCTGTTGGGTTTTAGCATTTCTGGCTCCAGAAAGGAACATGGAGATGAACAAACACAAACAAAGGAAACGTGCTGACAGGTTTGTTCAAAGTAGGTTTAAAAGAAGTCATAAAATCAAAAGCAGAGCTGTGGTTCCAAGTGTGGGGACAGACAGCACCAAAGATATCACGAAATAAACTTAAAAAAAGCCCAAACAAACCATAAAACCAACCATCAGAAAACTTGAAAGGACTGTTAGAGAGGAAACAAGACATGGGAAGCCTACCCTGAAATGACAAAAGGTGAATGTGAAAGAGGAATTACCTTGTAACTCTGCATTACACAGTCTGGAATAAGCATTTCTTACTGTAGCTGGCTGGAGGGAAAAGGTGTTCTACAGAATGACTCTGAATGTGGTAGGACCACGGAGTGACAGCACCCGGGCAGTGTGTTCACCAGCATGTCCTGTGTGGTGGCATCTGTCCCTGCCACTGCTGAAGATGGCCTGACCAGCAGCACACCCAACGAAGAACAGAACTCTTCAGCAGAGCAGCACCTCCTACTGAATACAATGCATTTAACGTTTCAAATCTTAGTTTTGATTAGCACAAAGGCAGTTCCCACCAAGACCTCTGCAGCCACAGGGTGTGAGCCAGAGTGTGCACAGCAGCTCCATGCCCACTGAGCAACATTCACTGCTCAGGATCCAGCCAACTGCCAGGACAGCACTTTTCAGTGTTTCTCCATAATTAACAGACATTTAAGCAGATGTACTGAACTTTTACATGAGCACATCCTTCAGGACTTCATCTACCTTGGTTGAAGGGCGCTTCACCGTCTGTCAATATACATATTACCTCATTCAACCCTCTCCCTTGCCGCCTCTACCCCAAACCAACATTAAAAGGCCTATTTAAGGTTGTAGAGTCAAGCACTTCACACAGAGGGCAATCTTGACCAAGTGTCAGCGCAGAGCTAGTTTTACCATGCATGTCCAATACCAGCATTAATTGGCACGACTGCGCATAACTATGTGCCAACACATGCCCTGATGCAGGAGAGTGAGCTCCCTGGAGTTCTTCCCTTGCTTCCCTGCAATCACATGCAAAGGTAGAACAGAAACAAGTGGCATGCCAAAAGCGCCCATATCAAGCCACCAGTGATATCTCACACTCAGTACCTTCAACTAATTTGAAGCCAGAAATGGTAGTCAGCACGAAAAGGTGGTCCCAAGGGGAGCTGCAGCAGCAGCAAGCCAGAGATATCCCAGCATTACAAGAAGCAGCTGCCTTTTCACATTCAGGATCATCCCTCAAGGACAGCTGCAGGGAAATAAGACCTCTTTTAGAAGGCAACATCTTGAGGTCTGTTCTCCTCTTCAAAGCCAGGCTTTCTCAGGACAGGTCTTCTCTCCTAATACCAACCTCCACAATTATAGCAGGGTCCCTTACACCTCTAATTGCCCTGGTGGAAATTCCTTCCCTTTTTCTCCTGTCCTATTGCCCAGTTCTGCCCTATTTTTTTCAGGAGATGCTTGTGGAAGGGAAGCCAGCTATCTGAGTTACCTAGACACCCCATGCTTTAGGGGTCCTTTGGAAGAACCTGCTCTATCTTGGCTAGAAAACTTAAAGCTCTCTGCTCCTAGCACCTCCTCTCCTCCTTCACTGATTTTAATGCTGCCCCTAACAGAGTGAAAAATGGGAAAGAAGAATGAAAAAAAAAAACCAAGACCCAGATCCATCACACACACAACTAAACACCACGGCAACAAAGAGGCTGAGCTCCCTTTGCTTTCTCCCAGGCCTGCCGTTGAACATTCTGCTGGAAGCTGCAAATTGCAAACTGAATTTGTCTTCTCCAACTAGTCAAAGCCCCCCAAAACCCGATAACAGTTTTTTGTTCTTAAACTCAAACTGCAGGGTATTCCAACTCCAACCCCATAATCGGCCATTTCTGCTCAGCCATAACACTGCTGTGAAGTGCATTTGGCCCCTCATCTCCCATTGCCTGGGTGGGTAGCAAACAGGCTGTGACAGATGCGCACCAACAGCTTGCAATCGCTCCCCCCCATCCTGCTTCAGAGGGAGCAGTAGGTCTCATATTTGGAAAGATCCCAAGGTATCATAAACCTGCTGTAGGTCTCATATTTGGAAAGATCCCAAGGTAACATAAACCTGTTTTCCCTTTACAGCATCATTTCCGTCTCTGAAGGCATATGCAACCACCAGGACACAGGCTGTAAAGCCTAAGCCTGCTGTTGATACAGAGATTCGTCTGCATTTCTAGATGTTTGTTACCATAGCAATACCATAGTAATTTTTAGTTTGTTTTGTTGTTTTTTTTTTTTCAAAAAGCCATGTTCTTATCCAGTGCAAACAGAGCCAGTTCCCAGTTACGTGAGAAGGAAATTAATACTCGCAAAGTGCTGCTACCTGGGAGCAGGGTGCTGAGAGGAGATGCTCAGCTCCTGCCTCACACCCCACTGCAATTGCAGGGCTCTCCCCACTTCATTCACCAAAGCCCTTTCTGACGCCCGCACCCGGCACGGTGTTGCTACCCACCCACGCTGATGAGTGCCATGCTGCTGTGCCTCCTTACCCCCCCTGGGGAGCTCTTGTGATTAACTTTTCTCAGAACAATCATCAGATTGTTATGAGCATCCGCTTTCAGCTTCTTCCCTCAACAGCTCAGCCACAAGGAGCTTACAAGACCTGCACAAACAATGTAAAGCCAACTTTTCCTTTGATGCTAGTGTCTACTTCCAAGGTCTAGCAGTGATTTACAGAAGCCCTAACACAAGTATGATAAAGGCGTTTTCCAGAACTGCCATATCAACATACATTGGCCAAAAGCTCCGTTTTCAGCATGTCATTCAGGAGCTACTCCAAGGAATCTGGAAAAGATGAAACAAGTTGATTGTCAGACATTTACCTCCCCGCAAATAAAATTAACTGTAGCCATGTTCAGAGCCAAGAATACTCAAGGGAGAATCTTTCCAGAAGCAGAAAAAGTATCCCTTTGACACAAACTTTTCTTTTTTTCCCCAAAGAGCCAACCACTTGGTACATTCAGGTAATTCAAGAAAGCTGACCCTTTAGCAACCAATGGAGCAGGAGACCTTAGCAGCACACTTTTCATTAGAAAATAGCAGTTAAGTGAAAGAGTAGAAAACTGTCTCACAGCATCAAACCTTGGTAAGGTACATCCGTCATAAAACGAATCAATTTTTGCAACCTTACCATCCTGATTTGCTAGGGCTGCACGATACCCATTTCTGTGTGCAGGTTCACAGAGGATAATCTGATCCTGCAAACGAATAACCAGTCCTTAACCACAGGCAGTAGAGGTTTGTACTGTGACGATAAGGCCTGTCGTTGATATATATTTGTCAGTCATGCAGCACAACAGAATGAATAATTTTGTTAAAGAAAAGTAAAAAGGTATCTTTCAAAAGTCCAGCGATCTTTAATCACAGATTAGGAAAGGAATCATGTTTCTTTTTTGCAGAAACTAAGTGATCTTCCTCACCAAAGGCGTAATAGCAGCGCGTGATGGACTGCTTCAAAAATGACTGCCTTGGAGAGACAATTGACACAGACCACGCACCGTAGCAAAGGTAACGCAGCAGCAATTCATATCTCTGCATTAACCAGTGTCACACAGTTCAAATCCTACTGTGCCAGCTCTGAGACGTGATGATAGGTGTCAAGAGAAAAGAGATACCTATCTCAAGGAGGCTCATTAACTTGGGAACACAGAAACATCAAACAAAACCTCATGGATTGAGGTACTACAACTTCACTTAGCCATCACAAGCAAATGCTCATTTACTGCGGTTTTAATCAATGGAGTTGAAAGTGATTCACTAGTTTCATTCAGCTGGCAGAGCCTCTGCTGCAAGGCTCAGACACCATCTCCAGCTAAAGAGGGCTCCACCTGCTGCAAGTCACTGCTGCCTTGATGATTTCAGAGTATGTACACGAGTCATCCAGTCTTGGGCAAGCCCACCCTCATACAGGAGGGGTCTGTAACCTGGTTTGTCCCCAGCTCTCAGATGCCCCAAGTCCTGCTTAGGGATGGTTCAGACAAGAGAAACCCCAAGAGGAAGGAATGCAGCTGGGTCCTGCAGCTGCCTGCTACCAGCCCTTTCTGCAGGAAGGCTCTGGGACTTTTAAACTAAAGGTGTCCAAGACAGAGCTCTGCTTGGTGGGGACAGAAGTGCACCAGCCAAAGTGATCAGGTTTGGTCTCTCATCAGGTAGGTATGTCAGTTCCCTTGGTACATAGAGGGAGGCATCCCTCTGACCTACAGTGGTTTTTGCTCAGAAAGTCAAACAGCTTGTCACCATTTCATTTGTACCACTCAGAGCAGTAGGAGCAACACTAGATCTGAATTACTACTTTAAATGAAACAGGAAAGTACAGAGATAACGAAAATCCTCTGTACTGAAATAAAGTCTCCAGAAGTTATCACAATTAAAATACTACAGTATGCACTGATAGCTGGGCTGCCACGTGAACCTCAAGGATGTCAATATACACCCACATAAATAACACATATACATCTCCCAGACAACCCTGTTCAGAAACTGTGCACGTAGTCATACCTCAGGTTTCCTAAAAAAATGTCCCTTTCTTTCCCCATCTGAAAGTGAGGAAAGTCTACAGGGATGTTTAAATTGATGCTGTTCTCTGAAGTCTAGAGTGCAGAGAAAAAAGCACAAGGAAACAAGTTGGTCCTACCTTGCCAGGCTGTGAGATACTTCCCCTTCAAATTAACTTTCTTCATCCATCCTGCCTGGCCCTCTGCAAGCTCTCCCCATTCCACGTCACTTAGATGCACTGAGTCAGAGCTGTGAGACTATGTCCAGGTTAGAATCATAGAATCATTCAGGTTGGAAGAGACCCTTGGGATCATCAAATCCAACCATCAAGTTAGTATTCACTCTCTGGATTACGGAGCCAGCATTTGGGCCAGTGGCTCAAACTCCAAGGATATTTCCAGCAAGGCTGCTCCAGCAGCTCTCGGTGCCGAACTGAGGACTGTGAGTCCAAATGGCACCTTTCCTCCCAGTTCCTCCACTCAGTGCTGAACTGGAGCTGGGGGTGCAGCAACCACCCCAGCAAACAACCATCTTTAACCCGATAACATCTTAACAGGTGACAGCTGATACAAGCACTCCAGCACCCATCAGATGTGCCTTGAACAGACTCCTTCTGTTATAACATCAAGAGCAATAGGCCAGAACCAATTTCCCAACTTTGGAGGGAAGCAGCAAGTGGGAAAAGCAGGTACAGAGAACCCATCCCCATCCTTTGTTTTCTCACACGCATGCACCCCTTCAGCCTCTTCCC